AAACTGTCCGAACAGTTTAGTGCATATGAAGCTCGAGAAGAATCAGAAGTGTGAGATTAAATGCTTTAGCCAAGCAAGCTAACATAGCCTTAGGTTGCACTAAGAGGCATGACATTCAGGAATAAGAAATCTTAATAGACTCATTGTACATGTATGTTGTCCAACTCATACCATATAATGGATTAGTATGTTCAGTTCTAGGCAGTTTTAGGAAGGACATTGATAAGCTATTGAATGTCATGAGGAAGGCCATCAGGAGAGTGAAAGTTCTCCACTTCATGCCATGTGAAGCTTGGTTGAAAGAATTGTGGATGTCTTCTAACCTGGAGAAGATTTCTTTGCGGGACACAGGGAGGCACAATAGCGGCAGGTATCTGAAAGTAGGGGGATTGACCTTGTTCTGCTTGACCTCAGAGGACAGAACTAGGAGCAGTAAATCAGTAAGCATTTATTTATTAAACACCTATTTTATACCAAGCACTGATGAGCATATAAAGAGAAAAATAAATCAGTCTCTGTTCTCAAGAAACTTACATGTTTCAGATGAGACAACATGTACATATGTAAGTATATACAAAATAAAATCGTTTCGGTGGAGGGAGGTGCTGGGAGCTGGACATAGGCATGTGAACTAAGTTTTGAAGGAAATAAGGTATTATAAGGAACCAAAGGTGGGGAGAGAAGGCATTCCAGGTGTGAGGTAGGGGTTAAACCTGAGCAAAGGCACAGAGATGGGAGAAGGAATAGATTGTCTGAGGAAATCTCAATAGAATGTAAACTTCTTGAGAAGCAGAGACTGATTTTTTTGTCTTTGAATCTCCAGCATGTGGCACAGTGCAGGTGCTTAATAAATGTTTGTTGGCTGATTAAGGAACAGGAGAAAAAAAGCCAAAAGGCTAATCCTGTAGTGTGTGTGAAATGGGGAGTCATGTGTATCTGGAAAACGCAGGCTGGAGCCAGGCTAGGGGCTTTAAATGCAGTGAAGTGATATGACCAGGAGTATCCTTTTGACAACTGAGTGGAGGAGATTGGAGAGGAGAGGGGAGAAAGAGGCAGGGACACCAATTAGGTTGTTATGGTGAGAGGAGATAAGGGTCTGGATTAGGGTAGTGGCTGTGTGAATGGAGTGAAGGGGATAAATGTGAGTGATGTTGTGGAAGTGGAATTGATCGAATCTGACAACTAACTGGTTAGATGAGAGAGAAAAGAGAGTTGAAGATGCCATTGAAGTATTACTGTCAACAGAAATAGGGAAGTTCAGAAAGCTGGGTTTGGTGGAAAAAGTAATGAGTATTGTTTGGGGTATGTTGAATTTGAGATGCTTGTAGGACATCTGGTTTGAAATGTCCAAAAGATAGTTGGTGATGCAGGATTAGAGATAAGGAAAAAAACAAGGACCAGATAGAGAGGCTCATATGATCATAGATTTAGAGATGGAAAAAAGAAACCTTAGAGGGCTTCTGAGTTCAATCCCCTCATTTTACAGATGATGAAACTGAGGCCCAGAGAGGTTAGGTGACTTGCCCTCAAGGTCAATTAGTCAGTCAACAAGCATTTATTAAGCACCTATTATGTGCCAGGCACTTAGTAGAAAGTAGTGTCCTCAAAGAGCTCATAATCTAATGGGGGAGACAACATTCAATCGATTACATACAAACAAGATATAGACAGGAAAGATAAATAAATTTGTGATAATCAACAGAAAGAAGGCACTAAGGTTAAGAATTAAGAAAGTTGTCTTGCAGAAGGTAGGACTTTAGCTGGGACTTTTGAAGGAACCAGGAGGTGGAGATGAGGAGGAAGCAAGTTCTCGGCATTGGTGTGTGCGTTTGTGTGTGTGTGTGTGTGTGTGGGAAGTGCTGCCAGTGAAAATACTCAGTCATTGGAATAGAGGATTGTATGTAAGGAGCAGCAAGGAGGCCAGTGTCACAGGATTGTAGAGTATGTGGAGGAGGAGGAGGAGAAGGAGGAGGAAGAGGAGGAGGAGTAGAGGTATAAGAAGACTGTAAAAGGAGGAAGGAATTAGGGTATGAAGTGCTTTAAAATCCAAAGAGGATTTTATATTTGATCCTAAAAGTAAGCCACTAGACTTTGTTGAATAGGAGGATGACATGGTCTCATCTGCCCTTAAGGAAGATCATCAGTTTGACAGCTGGCTAGAGAAGACTGTAGTGGGGAGAGACTGGAAGCAGGGAAATCAATCAAAGGCTATTGCAGTGAACAGATGAATGCCTGCACCAGAGAGTGGCAGGCTCAGAGGCAAGAAGCCGGGCATCTAAGAGAGATGTTATGTAGGTGGAAACAACAGGGCTTGGCAACTGATTGGATAATGGAGGATGGGAGGTAAAAAATAGTAATGAGACAAGGATGATTTCCGGGTTGCAAACCTTGGGTGACTGGTAATATGGAGTACCTTTGACAGTAACAGGGATGTTTGGAAGAGAGAAGAGCTTGGGGGAAAGAGTTTTGGACATTTTGAGTTTAAGATATCTAGTGGACATCTAGTTTGAGGTGCCTAAGAGCAGTTAGAGATGTGAGACTGGAGGTAGTCAGCAGAGAGATAAGGATCGGATAAGTAGATTAGAGAATCATCAGCGTAGAGATGATTCTTGAAACCATTGGAGCTAATGAGATCAAATAAAATATATATAGAGAAGAGGGCCCAGGACAGAGTTTTGAGGGACACTCATGGTTTAGCAGGCATGATCTGGATTAATATCTAGCAAAGGAGAACAGAATTGGGAAATGGAAGACAATGGAAGACAGAGAATACGAGACAGGAGAACCGGGAGAGAGCAGTATCATGAAAACCTAGAGAGGAGAGAGTATCAAGGAAAAGAGGGTGATTGTCAGTGTCAAAGGCTGCAAGAAAGGTCAAAAAGGATGAGGATTTTTAAAAGTCCATTAGATTTGACAAGCAAAAAATCATTGGTAACTTTGGAGAGAACAGTTTTGATGAGGGAACAGAATGATGAGGGAATCCAGAGTTCAGAGTTTAAAAAGAGTGAGAAGAAGTGGCAGCGCCTGTCATAGATGGCCTTTTCATATAGGTTAGCCGCAAAAAAGGTGGGGAGGAGAAGAGAGACAGAGAGAGAGAGACAGAGAGAGACACACAGAGAGACAAAGAAAGAGAAAGAGAGAGAGAAGATAATCGCTAATAGAAATGGACAGATCAAATGAGGATTTTTTGAGGATGGGGGGAGGTACATAGGTGTACTTGTAGGGAAGCAGCCAGTAGTAAAAGGAGAAATTAAAGATTAGTGAGAGAGTAGATAAAGGGGGCAATCTCCTGGAGAAGACTGAATGGATTGAGATTCCATTTGCATATAGAGGAGTCTGTCTTAATAAGAAGGGCCACCTCTTCACGTGAGATGGGTTGAATGAAGAGATAGCAGAAAGTGGCAGAAAGCATCTGTCTCAGTGACGTGAGATGAGAGGATGAGGCAGGAAGGGGGGAGGAGCAACTGTTTTCCATTTTTTTTTAGTGAAATATGAGGCAAGGCTCTCAGCTGAGAGTGTGGGAAGAAGAGGGAGTTATATGGGGGTTTGAAGAGGAGTTGAAAAGGTTTGGAAAATCCTCTGTGGTGAGTGGGATAGTGAAGTGATTAAGAAGTTATAAAAGGATTGCCTTGCTGCAGTGAGGACCCAGTTAGGATTTTGTAACAGAAATTTGTAAAGGATGCAGTCAGCACAGTTTCAAGATTTTTCTTCAGTTTCATTTGACAGCATATGAGTAGGAACAAAAATAAGGAATAGTGGGAGCACCAAGGCTGAGGTTTAGCAGGGTGTGATCTTTGAGTAGGATAAAGGAACAAGGTGTTTGAGAGAAAAGAATATAGAGTTGAACTGGTTCATCACAGGGTCAAGATGGGGAAAGGAAGAGAGTATGTAGTCAGTATAAAAGTTATGGTCTGTGTTTAGCTGGAAAATAGGGGAGGGAAGAGAGTGGAGGGGAGCAGGGAAGCTGAGCAGGAGTAAGACAACTGTTGTGGAATTGTAGGGTGTCAGGAAAGGGTACCTAGAGGGAGATAGTCACATAACTACTGAATGTCTAGAGGCATAGTTTGAATCCAGGTCTTCCTGACTATAAGTACCATTTTCTGTCCACTGCAGGACATTGTAGAGCAAGTACTAATTTGGGAATTTTTGTATATAGAACATAATTGAACCTATGGGAACTCTAGTGGGTAGCAATTGTAAAGAGGCAAATTTAGGCTTAATAAAAGGGAAAACTTTCTCTAATAAGAATTATCAAGAAGTAGTAGAATTATCAACACTGCCCTTTCACTGGCATTCTTTAGCCAAATGCCCAGATGATCACTTGTGAGATAAAGGGAATTCTCATTTGGGAACAGATTAGCCAAGGTATCCTCTGATGTCTCTCCTAACTTGGATATCATATAATCTTTTGCACAATTGTACTTCCTTTTAACTTGATGACATGACTTAAATATAGTCCAATTTTAATCTTAAAATTGTTAATAAACAGCAAATCACGATTTTTAAATTTTTTGTTAAGGCCGTATGTCAGATAAACATCAAAATCCAGTTGATTTTGGCACTGGAAGTTAGTTACTAGTTCAATAGATTTCAACTGGCAAAAAAAAAATTAAAAAACACCCTAGTAAAAAAAGTGGATCAAAAGACAACATTATTTAGTATGGAAGTTTTAGCCTTAAGATAACCCTTTAAGACTCAGTGAAGCACCTTAATGTGAATAACAGTATAACTTTATATATTCATGTTATTTCATCTTCACTGTAAAGTCTCAATTTGAAAAGAAAAAAATTCAATATTTTTACCTCAAAAGAAATGTTTGGTTTTTCTGCCGTGAAAATATGAACACAACATGTTGTTGAAAAGAAGAGGGTATTGAGTAAATGATCGTAATTAAATTTATTTAGATAAAATTTTATTATTTACAGTTATATATTACAATAATTTTTTTTAATTTGCCTGCTGTAACAAAGTACTAATGGATGTGTCTTTATTTTTTTTAGAGTTGCTAGGAAAAATGGCATGATAGGAGTTTCAGATTTCTTCATAGAAGACAAGAAGAAATTTCATCCAGTTTAAGAAGAAAATTGGGGAAATTTTCTCAGAAAACATATGGCACTAGTTCAGAGAAGAAAGTGCTTTTAAGAATCAAATAGTGCTTTATAAAAGCTTAGCACGAAATACAGCTTTGCATTAACCAACATACCATGTGCACTGTGATTTCTTTTTTAAGGAAATAAAGCTGGTGGTATCACCTTTGACAAGTCACTTAATCTTTCCATGCCTTAAGCAACTAGGAGTCTTAAGATACAGAGAATGTTCCTCTTTTAGGAGCTGCTTACACTGATGTATTTGTGAGTCCAGTTTTTAAAAATGGTTAAAGTAAAAATGTGACTATAAGAAAAATCTTATATTAAGACACCTTCAAAATCCTCACCTTCCAATAGGAATTAAATTTTTTATTATTCTACTTCATTGTTGACTCATAGGGATGAGGAGATAAAAGCTGAGATTTCAAACAAGTTCAGTTTGAAAGTATATTAATATGAAGGGTGGCTAGGGGGCACGTGCACGAGCATACACACACACACACACACACACACACACACACACACACACACACGGGACCAAAATTGTTACTCCAAAAAGACAGTGGGAAAGGGGGAAAAAAACCCCAGAATTTCCAGGGCTTCTTTCCTTAAGTGATTTGTTCTGTAAAACTTGGACTCAGTCAAAAGATCTGGCCCAAGGAACTTAGAAGGCCACATGTGGCCTCCAGGCTGCTGGTTCCCCACCCCTACCTGAGGCAAACTACAGGTTAATAATTTTCTAGGACAGGGCTGATTTAAAATATTCTGTGCCACTGTTCCCATGAACAATTAAAATAGAATGGAAATTCCAATATTTTGGCAAGTAATAACAAGAATTGTTACCATTACAATAAAAATATAAATGTCACAAAAGATGAGCCACAAAATCAACCAGCCATGGAAATGCAATGAATGAGTAAAGTATTAAGTGCTTACTTTGTGCTGGGCACTGTGCTAAGTGCTGGGGATACAAAGAAAGGCAAAAGACAGTCCTTGCCCTTGAGGAGCTCACAAGCATTTTCATTTCTGTTACCAATTAAAGGAAAGTGATTTAGAAGAAAATGGCAGATTTAGGAGATTAATAGCTGGCTGGGAAAATGTTGTCTGAGACTGAGGCTGCATCTTAAAATATAAGAACAAAGTGCTTGTAGCTAGAGAAGGAGTAAACCTAGGACTGGTCAAATGTATTTTCCTGTCCAGGTGTAGTGCCACAACAATGGAAAATACATAAAATAACTTTAAAAAAAAATAGCAACTATGGAGAAAGGATGTAACGGTATGACATAGCAAAAAGAGAACTGACCTCCAAGCCAGGAAGACCCGTACTTAAGGCTTGGTTCTGACATACATTGTGAGTTGTAACCCTGGATAAATTCCTTAACTTCTCAGTGCTTAAGTTTAGGGTGCTCTCCAAATTGTAGAAGAGTTGCCTACCTGCATCGGCAATGGAAGTTTCCTCATCCAGGAATTTCCTACATCAAGGAAATCACAAGTCCAGTCCCTAATACATAGGTATGACCATGTCATTCCCCTTCTCAAAAACCTTCTCGATTACCAATAGGACAATACAAATACTTTTGCCTAGCATTTAAGAACTTCAGAAAACTAGCTCTCACAGCCATTTTCAGTTTTGTATTGTATTCCTTCCTCTCGTGAACTCTATATTCCAGTGAAACTGAAATACTAGCTCTTCCCCAGAATGATGCTTAATATTGCTCCTTCATGAATTCACATAAGCTGTCACCCAAGCCTTGCCTGAATTCCCTTCTGATCTCTGTATCTCAGAATCCTTGTCTTTAAGGTTGATCTCAGGTGTCACATCTTTCATGAATCGTTACCTGATTTCCCCATTGTTAGTGCTTTTTACCTTTTCGGTTTCTCTTTGTTAATTGAGAACAAACTTCAAAACTAAAAAAAATTTTTAGAAAGAATTTTATTGTTTGGCAGAGGGGAGATCAGAAAAAGGTGTGAGTCTCCTTAAGTTTTAGGTTACATAGAGTTCAAACAAGGGCACCAGGACTTTAGCGGCCTGCACATAAGTAGTTTCCAGATAAGGCAGGTGTTTGAGATGTATATCTACAGGTAAGTCTAAACATGAAATAAAAATTTGGCCAAAGCAGAAGTTTAGGGCAAGGTCCCAACATAAGACTTAGGTGGGGTCCAAGCATTCCTTGCAGCAATCTTTGGCTTCCCTGGAGGGTCTCTGGGATCAGCATGACCTGTTAACACTTCCTGCATATCCTGGGTTCAACAATACCTCACCACACAAAGCTAGGTTCAAACAATATTAATAAAAATGTATTTTCCTCATAGTTAATATCATACTTGTGTACATTTTACTCCACAGCATAATAAAATATAAGCTTCTTGAAGTAAGAGCCATTTCATTTATGTCTTTGTATTACTGGTACCTAGCATAGTGACTTGCATATATAGTAGGCACTTAATATGGTTTGTTGAATTGAATAGAATTAATTATAATACTAAATACAAATGGACTAAATTCCCCAATAAAATACAAAAGAATAACAGAATGAATTTTCAAACAATCAAATTTAATCCAGAAACACCTAAAAAATTAAAAATCAAAGACTGGTCCAAAATTTATCATATTCAATAATGTATCTTTGATCCAAAAATGTAGGTCACAACCCATCCATGCTTGTCTGCTCTGTGCAGTTCTTGTCCATATCCTCTCATAAGTTCAACAAAGAGAGTCAAACCCTTGTGGTGATAGCTTTCCTCATCATATTCTTTTAATACGACAGAGGTACAAATGGAGCTCCATCTCTGCCATATTTTGAGCTCACCATATAGATGATCAACCCATTAAGCACTTACTATGTGCCAGGCACTGTGTTAAGTGCTGAGAATATAGAAAGAAGCAAAAGATAGCTCTTGCCCGCAAGGAGCTCACAATCTAATGTAAGAGACAAACATACATACAAGTTATATAAATAGGATAAATAGAAAATCAGCGAGGGAAGGTACTAGAATTAAAGGGGATTAGGAAAATCTTTCTGTAGGAGATGGAATTTTAGTTGGGACTTGAAGCCAGGGAAGGCTGTAGGTGGAGATGAGGAGAAAGAGAATCCCAGGGATGTAAGACAGCCAGAAAAAATGCCTGGAACTGAGAGAGGGATCCCATGTCATTGATCAAAGACTGTTTTGTGGGGAGTAAGGCATAAAAAGATTGGAAAAGGCAGGCAGGACTTGGGTTACGAAGGGCATTGAATGCCAGGCAGAGAATTTTATATTTGATCCTAGAGGTGATAGGGAGCCACTAGAGTTAATTGAGTAGGGGAGTGATATAGTCGGACCTGCACTTCAAGAAAATCACTTCAGTGGCTGAATGGAGGATAAAATGGAACGGGGAGAGACTTGACGCAGGCAGATCCACCAGCAGATTATTGCAACAATCTAGGTGTGAGGTGATGAGGGCCTGTACCAGGGTGGGGCAGTGTCAGGGGAGAGAAGGCATATATGAGAGATGTTACAAAAGTGAAATTGATGGGCTTTGGCAACAGTGAATATGGTGGCGGGGGGTAAGAGAGAAGAATTGAGAATTACTACAAGGTTGCAAGCCTGAGAGTACTGAGAGCATGGTGTTGCCCTCTACAGCAATGGGGAAGGGAGGGGAGGAGTAGGGCTTCGAGGGAGGCAGGAGTGGGGAGGTGGGGGATAATGAGTTCTGTATTGTACATGTTGAGTTTAAGATGTTTGCTGGGCATCTAGTTCAAAATATCTGAAAGACATTTGGAGATGTGAGATTGGAGGTTAGCAGAGAGATTGGGATAGGAAAGGAAGACTTGAGAATCATCAGCATAGAGATGGTAATTTAATCCGTGGGAGCTGAAGAGATCACCAAGTGAAGTTGTATAGAGAAGGAACAGGAGAGGGCCCAAGCAGAATACTGTAGGACACCTATAGTTAGGGGCTATGATTTGGAGGAGGATTCAGCAAAGGAGACTGAGGAGTGGTCAGATATGGAGGAGGAGAACCAAGAGAGAATGGTATTCCCAAAATCTGGAAAGAAGAGGCTATCAAGGAGGAGAAAGTAATCATGTCAAAGACTTCAGAGAGGTCAAGGAGAATGAGGACTGAGAAAAGGCCATTGGATTTGGCAACTAAAAGATGATCAATGACAGAAGTTTCAGTGGAATTAAGGTCAGAAACCAGATTACAAGAGATTAATAAAAAGAATGAGAGAAGAAAAAGTGGTGGCACCTATCATACATAGCCTTTTCAAGGAGTTTAGGCACAGAATGACAAAAGAGATATAGGAAGATAATTAGCAGTCATGGAAGGATCACGTGAGGTTTTTTTTTCAGGATGAGGCATGTTTGTAGGCATTAATAAGTGGATAGACAGGGCAAGATTGGAAATAAATGATGGGGTGCAGATGACAGAGAAGGGAAGCAGGTAGAAGGTTTAGCCTTGGAGTAAGGCCACTTCATGTGAGACAGAGGTGGAGATAGTGACCTGAAACATATGAGTGTTATGACGAAGAACAAAGAAAGGGGAGCTCTTGATGAATGCCCTCTAGGTTCTTGGCGGAGAAGATTTGGTACAGGGAACAATGGGAGCTTTGAGGAAGGATGAAAGTTTGGTAGAGACACTGTGGAGAGTGGGATAGTGCAGCATTTAGGGCTCAGTTGAGATTGTAGAACATATATTACTAATGGGCCCAGACAGAATGGTTCTATGATTTACTCTACCTTCATAGCCGATGTGTAGGACCAGAGGTGACAGATGATGAGAATGATCCAAAGTTGAGAACTGGTAGGGCAAAATCAGTGATAGGATAAGGGAGCTGGGGATTCAAGAGAGGAGAGGACAATGTAGGGTTGAATTGGTTCACCAAAGGTCCAGATAGGGTGAGGAGAGAGTGGCTAGTGCAGAGGAAATAGCCTAGGAGAGAACTGAGGGGGAAAGGATTGGGGGTCACATTGTAGACAAAGGTAGAGTTTTGTAAGGGAAAGGAGAGGGAGAGGTAAAAAGCCAATAGATTATGGTTGGATAAGGGAATTTTAGAATTCTTAAATGTAGAGTATGGTACATTTGTGGATGATGGCAAGATAAAGGGTATGACCATCTTTGTTTGTGGCTGAGGTATGAAGAACTGAGTGGTTAGGGTGTTAGAGGGGGAGTCAGTATGTATGTTGAAGTGT